CATTTGGTGGTAACTTGGTTTTCTAGCATATCCTTGGAGCCATTAGGCCATCCATGCGACAATGGCGGCATTGGGTGGTAACTTGGTTTTCTAGCATATCCTTGGAGCCATTAGGCCATCCATGCGACAATGGCGGCATTGGGTGGTAACTCGGGTTTAATAGCATGTTGACCATGCCAGTTTTAAATGTGTCTGTCAGCTTTTATTATTCATTTTTTCTAGTAACAGCTCAAGGTAGAGGGCATCATAACGCCGAGCTTTATTTTTGATGTAAACTGGCTTAGTACTGAGTGCCAGGCTTTGCCAAGTTTTGATGTATTGTTGATGCTGTTATTTTTGTTGTTATTTTTATCGATGTTGTTGACCAATTCGTAAATACATGTACATATTGCTTGTGTTGTGTAATATTGGACTTTTTATACCAACTGCCGGTGGCTGTGGTTGAACTCTGAACTCACACCGTAACTAACACTGATTACATCAACCAAAGCGATATCACGTGGCAAAATACTGTTAGAACGAACGCGTGACTAAGTATGTATATCATTCACACCAATATAGGGAGGGAAAGGGTAAGTGATATGCAATCAGAAGAATACTGGCTTTTGTACACTGATATTAATGTAATCGAGATACTATGAAACACATTATTTATTTATTTAAAGGTTTAAAACAAATAATGCTTTCCAGTACTACGTTCATACGTTGTATCATCACTCATATTACATGACGTCATACATTTGCCGTATGTGTGCCAATATTATCTGGTGTGTGTATTTAGTTCGATTTCAAACCACGGCTGCCAGCCAGTTTAAATATATCTAACAGGGTTCATTCTTAAGCAATTGGGCCAAAATGGCCGCCCGGTTAAACACATACACTGTGTAGTATTACCTGTGTGTATTTGCAATTACCTCGTCTACCAATGCTGACAGAAGTGACGAAACAAATGTCAGAGTTCACTCTGATGGTACGAGGTATTAAGTTGTCTTGATAATGTATAGTCTCCCACTAACCTGTTTACAATTATTTTTAATATCCAGTTTTTCTTCAGTTCGTGTAGATACAATTTTCTGAACTTATTGATGTAATTTTTGTTCCACTTTCTATGGAAATCATTAACTTTAACCAAACAAAATCACAATTTCTTTTGTAATCTCATTCCCATCATGCATCAGTTCTCATCCTTAACAGTATTTCTACAACTTACGAAAAAACTAATAAAAAAGTCATCGTGATTTTACAGTAACGACCTGTGTGTAATGTTTATCGGGATCACTTGCCGATGTGGTTTAGTGTGTGTTCGGT